ACCTACTTGTTTCATTAAACATACATTTCCTTCACATCTACTATTATTGGTAGTGTCCTAGGCGTTCATTCTACTGTTATCAAATAGGTTCAGTTTGTTTTAAAATTTGTTTAAAAACAGATGTTAAAGTTCTTGTTTTGTGCCAGGGCTGTAGTGGCACTCTCCCTGAGCTGACCTTTGGGTTGAAATCAAGAAAGGAAGTATTAGACTGAAAAGAAAATGATTTAGAAGTTGATGAGTAGGTACAAAAATAAGAGCTTGGGATTCTGGTAATTGCAGCCTCTGATATACTAATTTATTGTGGAAAGAAACTGCATGTGCATTTCTGTCATCTTTCCTCATCACTAGATACTAGCTCTGCTCAGGCACTTTGTAGGCAGGCTTCCTGCTGATCCAAACCTGCTTGCCTTAGGAAAATCAAATAGGAGCCAAGTCCTCCATCCTCATAAGACCATCTGTTTTCAGGCCCACAGATGCTGGCGTTATAATTGCAACCCAGCACAACTGGAATGATTTTTCATTTCCAGGTAACATTTGTGCACTAGCCTTCTAGCGAAGTACAGTATCAGCTTTATACTTAATGAAGCATCCAGCACACGTGGTGAGCTGCACTGTAAAGGACGCTTCTGGCTTAGAAATGGCTGATGGACAGACAGGTGGAGGTAAGCTGTTAGTCCTGAGAGTGTAGCTAGAAGAAGCAACTAAACACTGGCAATAAGAACTTCTTGTCCAGTCTTGATTATGTATCTTAGATTCCTGGAGTGTTTGAGATCGTTTAACTTAACTGATTCTTTAAGCTAAATGTTGTACCACTGTTAATTTAGGTTAGGAAATTAAGACCCAGAGAGAGGAAGGGACTTAAGTTGCATAGCAATTTGAAGTGCACAGCCAGTTTAAACATCTACCTTGTGCCAGCTCAATTTCCAGGCTCTTTACTTATGTAATCTTATTTAACCGGAAAAGTTCCTTTCTGTCTCTTATTATTATATTGAGGGTCTAATTAGTGTAATAGTACTTTTCTTCTATGACAAAATCCTTTGATAGTCAAATCTTCATAACCAAATACAGTTGCTGCAAACAAGTGATGCTTACTTTCAGAAATATCTAGAATGTTATTGTGAACCTGTGGCGGTATCTAGGGGTGAATGCAGCTAGAGCTAGTCTGAATCTTGGCCTCTACCTCTCCTACAAGGTGTTCCAGGGACCCTGTGTGTAGAAGGCAAGTCATGACTATGACAACATTCTTTGTAACCTTGGAGAGGCTTGGTTTCCCTTTTGGAATGTTTGGTTTTAATAAATTGCTTCCTTTTCACCTTAGGTTTTAGGCTCTTTGACAAGCCATCTGCTTCTCAGAGCAGCAAGGGCTTCCTTATACCAGCAACGGCTTACAGGCATTTCAGATGGAGAACAAAAGCTTTCTCCAGTTCCTGGTGGTTTTGTAAGAGTGGGAAGGCAGCAGGGAGAGATTGCATCTGCTTATTGGAATTCATTTGTGATGTGTGCCTGACTAGGCAGTATTTTCCCAGGGACTCTGCTGGGCTGGCTCAGGAGGAGATAAAATTCTGGAATGGAGGTCTATCAACATGCATTTTGGCTATTTCAGTTCTTGCCAGTGTCAGCTAGGGCTCTGAAGAGCTCGTTGGGATTGATGTTGCTGCTGCTTCTTTATAAAAAAATTTTTAGTACCTGCATCTATTGTTCAAGTTTTCTATTTGTCCTTTGTTTTTCTGTATTATTGCTTTTTCTGGTTGCTGATCTGTTCAGTGAGTGGCTTAGTATAATGCAATTCAACAGACTGTGTTGCGTGGAGATTCAGTAATGAATAAAACCTGATATGAGGTGGTGGAAAAGTGGCTTCAAATCTCAGCTTTGCCTTATACTGGCTCTGTGACCTTGAGTAAATAATTTAATCTCTGAGCCATTGCTTCAAAGACACTCAGTTTATCCATATGTAGAGCTGTTCACAACAGATATCTTTGGAATCAGAAAAATAAATGCAGATACAGTGCAATATCTTGCTGGCTCAGCAAACTTTATTTTATTATACCTTTTGCCCGTGACAGGTGATTTTCTTGACTGAAGTCCATTGGTAAATTTAATGACTATTAGCACATTAGGTAGAGGCACCCACCAGATGACTAACTTACATGGACTGATGGAATGAATAGCCATCAGTTAAACAAACCACTACATTTGAAAAAAGCTATTTATTATCAGGTTGATGGCACAGGTTCATCTGATCTGATTTTTTTTTTTTTCCTTTTTGTCTTTTTTCGTGACCGGTAACGGGATCGCAACCCTCAGTGTCACGCCCATACCGCAACCGGCAAGGGGATCGCAACCCTCGGTGTCGCGCCCGCACCGCGCTCAACCAGTGAGCGGACGGGTCTCTATGTGGGAGGGATCCGAACCCTCGGTGGGAGCGCCGCTCTCTACCGAGTGCACCACCGGGCTGGCCCTGATCTGATTTTTTGATCATTAACAAACTTTGACCAAGACAAACATAATTACTATAATTATACTTTCTTTCAAATAACTTTTCATTTGGATCCCCAAATTTCTTCTGATATAAATAGGATCTGAATTCCGCCTTTCATGTTGGAGCTTTCCTCAGATATCTGGTGATCCGTGGTTATCTGTTCATATTTAAAAGTGAGATACTAAAGAGATGATTATAAGTTTTAAATACATAGATCTGCCTGGCCTATATGTGGGAACCTACAATGCAGTATCTTTAGGTCTTTCCACTAGGGCTGGTCAGATTCTTTGGAAGAATCTTGTAGTCTCCTTCCTAGAAGTTATAGGCCTGACTGCCAGTGGTCTGGAAGCTAAGTGGGAGAGGAAGGCTACAGGGAGGTCCTCAATGTTCAGTTCACTTACACTCTTTTTTTTCTTGCACTCAACTCTGCCTGCTATTTCCTTGTCTACAGACTTTGTTTTTCTAGAGGGGAAAGAAAACCTTTAGTCTTCTGGAGTTGGGGAGGCAATCTGGGTCTTTAACTGCTTCTCAGACAGATTTTCAAGTTGTCAATCCTCCTGATTTTAACATTCTTTCTTTCTAGAAGTACATGGTGCTGCCAGTTTCTGAACCTTGTTTACAGTGGGGGTGGGGGTGAGGGTTGGGGGGAGGTGGATGTTTTACAGGTTAAATTGAGTTACTGTTTGGTTTTTCTCACTGCTGACTTAGTATTCATCTTTCTTTTTTTTTTTTTTTCGTGTCCGGCAACGGATTGCAACCCTCAGTGTCGCGCCCGTACCAGACCGGGACCGGCAACGGGATCGCAACCCTCGGTGTTGCTCCCACACCTCGCTCAGCCAGTGAGCGGGAACCGGTCTGTATTTGGGATCTGAACCCTTGGCGGGAGCGCCACCGCGCTCCCAAGCGGCGCACTGTAGCAGTGCGCCACCGGGCCGGCCTGTATTCATCTTTCTTGGAGCTAAGTCAGTTACTGCTCATTCATCTGCTTTGTGTCTATTAATCTTCTCCATTTATCTTTATTTTTATGGTTTTATGCTTTATCTTTTTTTTTTTTTTCCGTGTCTGGCAACGGATCGCAACCCTCAGTGTCGCGCCCTCACCGGACCGGGACCGTCAACGGGACCGCAACCCTCGGTGTCGCTCCCACGCCCCGCCCAGCCAGCGAGTGGGAACCGGTCTGCATGTGGGACCCGAACCCTCGGCGGGAGCACCTGCCGCGCTTCCCAAGCGGTGCACTGCAGCAGTGCGCCACCGGGCCGGCCCAATGGTTTTATGCTTTATAAAAAAAATCTGAAAGTAGGGTCTAAGGAGAGGACATTTATTCAGTTTATCAATTTTATCCAGAAGTCTGTCTCAGAATTTCATTCCTATTTGACAAGTGAAGAAATCATGTATTACCATGTTTGAAGGTAGCTGTTTGCACTGGGAAGAGTATGGGTTTTTGATTTTTGAGAGGCTTGAGTTTTGAATCCATTGCTAATAAGCTGAGTGACCTTGGGACACCTATCCAGAAGGATATATCATTATGCAGTGTGGCAGTGTCAGATGAGTCTGTATTGCAGCACTCACACTCACTCACCTCCACATCTTCAGGCACAATTTTACACAGTATGGCCTAGCAAATAGGTGTGATTTTCTTGACTAAAGTCCATCAACAAATTTAATGTCCATTAGCAAGTTAGGTAGAGGCACCCACCAGATGACTAACTTACCTGGACAATTGAAACTTTACCCCTTTAAGTACCAAATTAAAAAAAAAAAAAAGAAAAGAAAAGAAAGTATACTGTTTTGAGTGGATATTTCCTCTAAAATACATTATACACTCCTCTCTTCAGAATAAACAGAATATTATTGAATCTTTCTTGGGATTCGTTTATTACCAGTTATCCTACTTTTTTATGTTGCAGTCGTGCTCGAGCGCTATTACATTCTACACTAAATACACTGATGCTAGAAAACAAAAACAAAAGGTAAAAGCCACTTTTTGTGTATGAATGCTATGCTTTTTACATTTTTGTTGTTGTTTTGAATTATTTTTGTGCCTTTGCTCCTTGGTGTTTGTGAAACACAACAGAGAATATTGTGCTCCTTTCTTACTTTGTCACTTCTCACTACGTGTGGTGCTTCCAAATTACTGAGTTTATCAGATGTGTTTTTAAAGGAAGAGCAAGGGCCTAGAGACTCTACAAGTAGTAATGTGTGAAGAATTAAAGACAGTCATTTTGGCTTTGGAGAGGCCTTTTTTGCTTGCTTCCTGGTTCTCTGTGTGTTCCAGAAAGACAAGATAATCGGATTGCTGTATACAAGTGAGGAATTATAGTGAAACCTCATGGTTTGTCAAATAGATTGCTTTCCTCCATATCATCTCAGTTTTCCAAAGCTTCATGGTGAATCTATAAGGTGAGTAGGATAGGTGGGGTTATTCACATTTTATAGACAGGGCAATTTGAGGCTCAGAGAGATTAAATGACTTCTCCAAGTTCACCTAGAAAAATAACTTTATTTTATTTTATTTGGCGGCTGGCCAGTACGGGGATCTGAACCCCTGACCTTAGTGTTAGCAACACTGCGCTCTAACCAACTGAGCTAACTGGCCGGCCCCTCACTTGGAAAAATAAAGAGTGGCAGAGCCTGGAACTTGTTCTCTTCTTTTGACTCTGACCCTTACTCTGTGATTGCTGTACATGATACATCCTCCCTCAATCGGAATGAGCTGCCAAAAGAAAAAAATATGACAGCAGTGGTTTGAACTGTTAGTAAACAACCAAGTCCTCTAACCTAGGAAGGTTTTAGCTGATTGAAATTCTCATTCTATTCTTCCAATTTATGTAAGGGAGGAGGATAAAGAACGGTGTGTTTGGACTTGCAACAAACTGATTCCTTTAGCTGAAGCTCTGAAGATACACGGTTGCATTGCCAGTTTGGCACAAGGAAATAAACTCTCAAGTAGAAATATTTACTGAGTTTCTAGTACACCTTAATGTTCCAGACCCCAGGAAGGATTCATCATGAGTCAGGGAATGTTAGGGCTCCAAGATCCATTCATTCTCAGGCTTAAAAGCTGAGTTTATCCAGTCAATTGATAGAACAACTCTGTATGCACTTACTGAGCTCCTGCTGTGTACTAGGAACAATAATAGGCACCGGGAAATGTCCTGCTTAGGAGTCTAATGATCTGGTTGGGAAGAGACACACAAATAATTACATTACAGTATAAGAAGTGCTATGATAGAGAGATTTAAAGAGCACTGAACAGGATATCATTAGTTCTGCTCAGGTCAAGCATGGAGGGAGTGAATGGAGAAAACCTAACAGTAAAGATGATGATTGGTTTGTGCCTCACAGGATGGGTCAGATCTTTAGACAGAAAGGGAATGGGGGCCGGCCCGGTGGCGCACTGCTATAGTGCGCCGCTTGGGAAGTGTGGTGGCGCTCCCGCCGAGGGTTCGGATCCCACATACAGACCGGTTCCCGCT